CCACTACCAACCCTCAGGACCGTACATTTATCAGGGTGGAATTTGAGTTGCCACTTGTCGGCCCATTTTTGTAGACTAGACAAGTCTTGTTGTAGAGCTTCACAGTTTCGTACTTGTGGTACTGGTCTAAACAACTTTGTGTCGTCCGCAAACAATTTCAGAGAACAGTTTACCACTTCTGGCATGTCATTCACGTAGATAGTAAACAAGACCGGACCTAAAACACTGCCCTGTGGGACTCCGCTGTAGACTTCTCCCCATCTAGAGCTGCTTTCATTGATACATACTTTCTGTTTTCGGTTCTGTAAAAAGGATGAAATCCACTTAAGAAGGTTTCCTTTGATCCCATAACTTTCTATTTTGTTCAGAAGTCTTTTGATCGGGACCGAGTCGAATGCCTTGCGAAAGTCCATGTAAATTATGTCCACTGGTTGACCTTCATCTATCCAGGTTGACCAGCTTTCCAGGCATTCTAGGATTTGGGTGACTGTTGACCTCCCAGGGAGGAATCCATGTTGTTGACTTGTGAAGAGGTTGTTGTCTGTCATATGTCTTATGATTTCATCCCTGATTATACCCTCCAACAGTTTCCCAATCACAGACGTTAAACATACCGGTCTGTAATTACTGGGGTTCTTTTTGCACCCTTTCTTGTATATTGGTGAGATGGTACCAGTTTTCCACTCCGTTGGGAGTTTCCCCTCTCTTAAGGACTTCTGAAAGAGTATGCTCAGTGGGTGAGACAAAGTATCCGCCAATTCCTTTATCACTCTGGGGTGTATTTTGTCTGGTCCCATGGCTTTGTTTTGATTCAACTTCTTCAGTCTTTTATTAATTTCTTCGGGACTTGTTTCAATGTCAGTTAGCTCTTCTTTGAGCTTAACGATTATAGATTAACGACCTTTGATGTCTATGTCCCTAAGTTGGACTTGCAAGAGCCCATCCCTCCCTCCCTTCCTTCCTCTGTCACTCTCTATACATGAAGTTAGTGTTGTAACGTTAAGTGCAAAGAACTAGTCAAATGAAATGAACCCGAATCTTTTACATTTGCACCCCCCCAGGGAATGCTCTTAATGAGGTGAGAAAATTAGCAAACGAAACATTTACCCAGATGAAGAGAGATGACCTGGAGCAGTTGATGTTTGAGGACTCCCGCATCCTCTGGAAGTTCAGAGGTCCAGAAGATCTAGATCAGGTACAATTTTTTTATTCGAAACTACATTTGTACTTAAGCCTTCTATGATCAGTATGACTAAGAAACTCATCAAATGTCCTTAAACTCCACAAATTATCCCTTATCGTTTTGGATCCCCAAAGTAGACTAGTGGAATAATCCAACTTTCTTGCAATAAGAAATCTAGGTGTCATCATTTTGAACATTGTACTACTGTAGCTCTTGCCCACATGTACACGGCTGTGTGAATAACTTATTTCCTGATCTTTTACTCAGTGGCTAGTGACATCAGACAAGGAGATGGGGGGCAAGAGTGAAGCATATCTGACCCTCTCTGAGAACAACACTGCGTTCTTCCATGGTGTTACAAACATAGAAGTTCCCAAAGATGGGGTCACACGATATTCTGGATACGCAGCCATGCGGTCCAAACAGCGAAAGGTAAATAGGGGCTTCAATGGATGATACAGTCACCATTCAATCATTGTGATATCTTAACCAGGCATACAAAACAACTACAGGAAGAAACTGCTATATACATATGATAAGAATATGGCCACATAGTCAGGGACCAGATAGAGTTCAGATGATATTGTGCTAAATATGATGGTCATTTGGAGGGTATCAGATATAGAGATCTAATCATTCGTAATCAAAGCTTAGCTGTATATCTGTAAGACAATGTTTATTTGTGCTCTTCAGGCCGCCTTCAACAGAAGAAGTCAGATGGATCTCACACCTTTCAACATCCTGAACCTGCGTGTGCGTGGTGACGGGAGGTCTTACATGATCACCTTGGCACCAGAAAGCTACTTTTCTTCACAATGGGATGATTTGTGGTGCTACTTCTTCTTCACAAGAGGAGGGCCACACTGGCAGGACATACAGGTAAAAACATCAGTATTAATGATCATGAATTCATGGCTTGAATATATGTAGAAAATATATTTGTGGTTTTGTGTAGTGAGAAAGGTCATTGCATACATACACCAATACTTTTTGCCAGTTATGAGTCATGGGCGTAATCTAAAGTAGCATGCATAGTCTAGTGATAAGTGACACTGCCTCTGGACCAAGAGGTCATGGTTTTGAATCCCGGGAAATCACTCAAACTTATTGTGGAACATCAGACAAACTCAATTACAATATGTTTCTACTTTCTTAAAATTAAAGTGTTACATTTTTTTTTCATAGATCCCCTTCTCAAAGTTCTTCCTGACAAGCAAGGGGCGTGTGCAGGATGCCCAGAGTGCTGTACCTAAAGACAGAATCAACACTATTGGCATCACCCTGGGAGACAAGATCAATGGGCCATTTGAGCTGGAGATAGACTTCATGGGCGTGACCATGGACTTGACACACAAGGAGGAGTTTGCATATGAACAGTACTACCAAGGACCGAGGAGGAAGAGATTCACCAAGAAACCATTGCTGTCCACCAAAGATTGGTGATGTCAGACTGCTTTACCAGATATCAGGGTTATACTTTTGTTTTTAGAAAGTACTACGTGCATGTAGTATGGAAGTAGGAAATGGAAAAAGAGTCCTCTGTATGTACATGAATGGGAAATGGGAAAGGAGATGTGACAGTCATCCCCTCCTTCCACATTCACACAACTGTTACCTTCTGCTCAAGCATATACAATATACATATCCATAGGTTTTTTGATCAATAAATCTGGCCTGTGATATCTGGAAATTCTGGTGTGCTTTACTTTGAGTTGTTTGTATAAATTCTTGAATGCTCCTGGGTCTGCTATATAAAGCAGGTGTCTTTTTGTCTCGGTTGATATGTGTGGCTAACAAAAGGGTAAGTAGCAATGTGCCATAGTCAGGATGAAGTGAAGGATTGCTGTGTGGACATATACAGTGAAGAAATACTTTATTTACAGCTCATGTTTCATACAAAGAATTCACACCCAGTTCAACAGCATAGAATTCAACCTAATATAACAGATAAGGTTTTAGAAGGCATTAAAAAGCTACCATTTAATTTACCATTAAATTTATGCACAGTTAGTACAAGAGCTGTCAAATATCTCAATATTGCTTCACATTTTTGAAAGTTGTGGTACCACTTTTTCAAAGAAAGAAGTCAGCTATATAATAGGTTTCTTTTTTAGTTCCTGGAGAAGGATGGGTACACCTGTAATTACATGGATTTTGCCAAATGTGGTTGAGAAACTGGTGCAGATTAGATGCTGCAAATGATACTTTGTCAATATCAAATGACAGGCAACCTCCTGTCATTAGAATAGTCAATGGCATCTGTCTGGTCTAAAAGAAGAGTACTAATAACTCTGTGCTACTTTTATATACAACAAGAATAGAAGTCCTTGACACAGTTCTGTTCTTTAGAATCATCCTACTATGCAAAGTTACAACATAAATGGTAGGTCGTTGTTCTTCTCGCCATTTCCGATGTACATTGAGCCAAACTTGAGTGTGCCGGGAACGTGGAAGAATGTGTAACCAAGCCACACCAGGCTGCGAAGTGCCACCAGGCCGCTGCCACGCTCAAACTGCACACTCCAGGAGCCTGGGGAGGCAAAAATAATATCATTTTAACAGAATTCTAAAAATCTTGTCCTCAACTGACAGGATCTGCTGCTATTGAGCTATATAGTCCTATCTTAAAATCTTGCTTTGGCAAGCTATTAATGCATCAGGCCTTTTGGTGAATAGGATTATTGAAAAAAAAAATGAAGGAAACAGGGACGGAATGAAAGATTTTCACCTCCTCTGGGAATGTCTTCTTCAATTGAGTCCAGGAAGTCGATGGATGGGTCGAGGTCAGCCTTCTCCAGCAGAGTCTTCTCCTTCAGCTTCAGAGGCTCACGCAGGTGGAAGTACGAGTTTAGCTTCCCTGCCTCTGACACAGACAGACCTGTGGAAGGACAAGCAGGGATCAGAAACCATGGTTTCTTGAATATATGTACATGTAGGAGAAATACAACAAGCAAAACTGATGAGCTCAGCACTAGCAAAACACAGGTAAACAGGTGTGTGCTGCAGTCTTCTACCCAAAGTTTGCCACGTTCAACAAGGTTTGTCCAGTGAAGTACACTCATTGCTGCCAACCTCACCTTCAAAGCTACGGTTCCGGATGACTTCCCCGTGAGGTGTCTTGACGAAGGCCCCCCGTGGTGCAATGGCAACCTCCTCATCAATGGTGGCAATGACAGAGGTCAGACGATCCTCCTCTTTCACTTGGATCTAAGGTTGAGACAGACACATCAACATCACTAATATTAAACAACCAGGTCTTGCTTATTATAGTGGTAAATATAAAGATGTACATGTAGATATACATGGCTCAATTTGAAGCCATAGTGGACAAAAAGCATGTTTTGAACAGTGAGGTGTAGCCAGCTGGGCCATACACACCTGAACACTACTATTAGTCTATTAGTACATAAATTATGTAACATTGTACTCACTGTGTGCTCCTCCTCTGTAGCGTCCTCTCCCTCACCAATTTTCCTGATCTCAGTGTGCTCGTACTCGTAGGATGGATCCCCAGTGAACCGTCCCTTCACGACAGATGTGTGATCCCGCATGGCCTTTGTGGCAGGAGGCAGGAGGTTCCACTGCACACAGTCCAGGCTGGGGAGGAGGGAAATAATTTACAATTTTTGTTGCTGTCTCTGAAATGTCTCACTCTTTTAGCAACCTTATCCTGTTCCTTAATTTATTTTGTATAACATTTGATAATAGTTCATCGGTTTCCAATCATGAATGGGGCATACTCGTATGCTTTTTCATAGTGATGATGATACATGTACATTGTATCAGACATTTACTACTAGTGCTGCATACCGGTTCAATGGACTTGGATCCGGACTTGTAAGAATGTTTAGGTTCAAGTCCAAAAAAACCTAAAAGTCAAGAACCGAGTCCGAACTTATTACCATAAAAGACCATTTCACGTACCCCTTTTCTTTCCAAACCACCTAAAACCTTCCGTAGATTGCAAAAACTTTCCTGCAAATGAAGAAAACATTGCCATTGGGCATCGTCAAGTGTTGGCCTCCATGTTATGTGGCCAAAGTTTCACCCAGACAACATTGCAAGGTTGGCAACATGCAATTTTGTATATGCCATTGGTTTAGGTCCGGACTTACAAGTCCGGAACTGAACCTAAACCTCTGGACTTGAATCCGGACCTGAACCTAAATGTGGGTTTAGGTATGCAGCACTATTTACTACTACTACTAGTACTAGTACCTGTAACTGTGGGTAAGTCTCACCTGTACAAGGTTTTCCTTTCTGCCATTTCGTCCCGTGAAACACCTTGTGCGATGAAGTAGTCATCCTTGATGCCCAGGATCTTTCCCCACAGGTACACGCGGTGGAACTTGTAGTGGTTCTGGAACATTGGTCGAAAATAGAGGGAAAATAAGTACTTTATGCATAATTTTTTCTGTAAAACGTTAATACTGTGTAGTGCAAGTTGAGTTACAAACCTGGATGACGATCTGGAACACTCCCCCCCCCCTCCCGAGGAGTATGATAAATTGTTTTCATAGTCTCTAGAAACTACTTCCAAGTAGATATAACGCATTTATCGTGAAGTCAAGGAACCATTTTGCCCACCTTCATAATAACAAGAGATGTTTGAAGTGCCGCCTTCTGCTCGGAGCTCAGGACGACGCCACTACTGGCCACGAAGTCCACGTACTGGATAAGGTCTTCTGAGTCCATGTTTAGTCGTTGTGTGTACTGTTATACAGCCCTGAAGTCTGTTTTCTATCTGAATCAAATGAATGCTGCTGTTCGACGCACGGTTGTTTTGATGTGTCGTCAAGGAGAAGTGTATTCAGAAGCTCTACAGTATTAGCCAATCACTGATCTGTATTGGCAGAGGGCCTTATTTTAAACCAATCAAATGAAGGCTATCTGATACTGCGGGATACAACCTCCCACTAGGCTTTGCGTGTAACCTTTGACCGCTCACCCATCATTTCCGGAAGAAATACCAGAGACACGTTGATACCAACAGTACTTAATCAACGTAATGTGAGTATATGATGTACACGTAACGCTTACATTCGAGTTGGCGACACTTGCAACAGGCAAAAATGTGCGTAAAATTATATTTGGTGCTTTGATATGCGGCAAATAAGGTGACATGACTGTACTCAACTCAAAAGCTCAAAATTATGAGACGTGGCTAACTCGCCAACTGACTGCTGGAACGTTAACTTTAGTTAGTGTGATACTACTGGTAACAAGTTAGGTGGTGAATGACCATAATGGTGATGATGATATTTCTTGCAAGAATAATATCACATCGTGTTGAAGCTAATGTCTTTGTCACTGCCATTTGATGCTCTGTCTGAAGACACAAGATCAATAAACTCATTTTTGAGTCTTTAAATAGATGAAAAGTAGAATCTGATACAAGCTCAATTACTAGTACTACTATTACTAGTAATCAAGCTGAATTGATTTAGTTTGCGGATCTGTACTCTGCTTGATAACCTCCATGAAAAGTGGAGGTCTTTTTTTGTTTGTTTGTGTGTGTCTGTCTAATGTGGATATATTATGCTAATGTGGTCATTTGCATAATTAAAAATGTTGAAATCAAATCTTGCCAAAGAATAGGATATTTCATTTAGATATGAGGTCTCAGAATTCTTTTCCTGTATGAGATACTAGTAATTTACTAGTACATGTAGCCTGGGTGCCATCCTATTTGTATACCGGGGCTCCAATACTCGCTACCCTATTAAAGAAATGTATGCCGGGGCTCCCATACTCGCTACCCTAAGAAATATATGCCGGGGCTCCCATACTCGCTGCCCTAAGAAATATTTCATAGGGCAGCGAGTATGGGAGCCCTGGCATACAAATAGGATGGCACCCAGACCACAGATAATTTTCTGAGAGCTATGGATTGAATGGTGGAGTGATTGGTGTGAATGACATGCCCTGTGAGCTTCTGTGTGTGGAATGTGTGTATTTGCTTTGCCTATGGCTGAAATAGATAGATAATCAACTGGATAGGTGCCGTCTCAGCTAGCTGAAGACATGATCACATGAATTTAGGTAAAATACTAATGATAAGCTTGGACATTACAATGTCATTTGTTGAAATATATACCAGTAACAATAAATTGTTCCAATACAAGTTGGACAGTTTTAGATGATCTAAAATTTGTTGTATTAGAGCCCCATGAATAAAGAACTATGAATGGAGACCTGTTAGTCAGATCTACTGAATGTATTGCCTAAGAAATATGCCTTTGTATGTTTTGTACTGCATTGTATTGTTGTATTAATTTTGTGTTTGTGTTTTGGAGAGCAACTTGTAAAGTTTTTGATACACTTGTTTGATACCCTTCTCATGTTAATTCATTTGTGGTGAATTTTTATAAATAGATAGATACATACATACATACATACATACATACATACAACAGGCTGTTAACTCAGCCAGATGGAGAGAAACATTGTCTCACAGTTCCAACAACATTAAACTGAAATATGGTAGAATATACTGATCATATGATGGAATAGATTTTATGATCAATGAGACAGCTGAACACCCATTCAGAGCAAAGAATCTGCCAATTTGGCACTTTGAAAGAGGTAAAAGAAGAACATTTTATGGTAGACTGTAGTTTATATGGCAGTGATAGAAATAATTTTAGTATGTGTATATAGATAATGAATTGTTTCCACTGAGATTTATCTTTAATATTGGTGCCGAAAAAATACATTATTTTAACTCAAAGATTTTGATCAATCGCCTCACCCGCTACTTGCTAGCTGTCACGTTCTTTGGAAGCCTGCGGCAAAATGCCAACTCGTCACTAGCATGGGTGACGCACAACACTGTATTTGTTTGGGGTTAGTGTCCTTGTCAGTTGTGTGGATCATGGGAGAGAAGGTCTAGGTGAAACTTTTAGTGATTCACTAAAAACGTCACATTGGCATGGTCCATCAGTTTCATCCGAACAAAGGAAACTTAAGCCATAAATCAACAATAGGTGTATCATATGCATGTAGTTCGGTGAAAAGGGAACACAATATTCTTACATGTAAGTAGAAGGATAGCAACTCAAGCTTACTAGTCAGTAAATGTTTAGGCCTGTTACCGCCCCTACTTTGTTGCCTTTATCTACATTCTGTACGTGGATAGTTAAGCACTTTGTAGGCGTGCCCATGATGTAGTGTATTTGGGGTTTCACGAACAACGAAAAGCACACCTGGACATTAAAAGACTCATCAGCAACTCCACTATTTGCCCAGCCTGACTCACCTTCGCCATGGTTCACCGGGTGTAAACAAACGCAGATTTACGTCATTGGTGGTATTCAGTGATGTAACTATTTGCCTCGCCAGGATTCCATGAAGCGAAAACTACGTACACATTTCAGTAATTAGCATGGAGACCTGTTAGTCAGGTCTGCTTAGTACGTAAGAAATACAACTGGCTTTTACATAACACGGCTCTTGGGAAACATTTTGTACTGTTTTGACAACAACGAGTTAGAATTTGCGTTCAATACGACGGGGACCTTGTTGGCGAAACTCTGTTTTGTCTGAAATTCTCCGAACTTGTCTCGTGTAGGCGTCTGGTGGTTTCGACGCTAATCCTGGCATAATTACTGACTTACGTCATTGTCCGTATATTGGGTGGTGCACAAAGTGGGCGGAGGTCATTTGGCGAGGCAGTCTTTGAGTTACGGCTGTGTGCTACGGTAGCTACAACGGCTGCTTAGAAACCGTTCGTTTGGGACGATAACAGTACAGCGCTAGTTAGTGTGGTCAAATGTGTACCTCTGTAGTGATGAAACCAGGACGGAGACGATCCAGCGGCGGGAAACTGCCAGGTTTGTGACCAAATGTCCATGGGTTAACACTTGATTCAACGACACAACAGGTTGTTATGTAGGCATTGTGTTTGACTCGATAAAGGGTAGTTTTCTTATCCTCTGAAAGAACGCGATATTCATCGACGCCAGATTGCTTCTGGGTACTGTTTGTCGTTTACATCATTACTACGCCTGAGATTTATATTTGAACTACACTAGAATCTACCAGGTTACAAAACCATGCTTTGCAGTATCGTCTGCTCTGGGCATTTTGTCCCGAAAGAATGTCCAAACAAATACGAATTTCGAGGACATAACTTAAGACAAGCTTTGGACAAACCTTCGGCAACCCATAATTGTTTAAAATGTTCAAGGTGAATTCTATTTGTTTAGTATGCAGAATGACGTCATCCTCCACTCCGAACGGAACGAAAGGAACGACTTATTACGAGGATGACTTCTTCATGTTCCTGTCCTGCGGTGCGCGCGATGGCCTGCCCAAGTCACGGGTCAGGGTCGACTTCTCCAGCGAAAAGTACGGCCGGAAGGTTGAACCATCCACCGAGCCCAACATCGCCCGCTTCTGGGAGGACCACAAACGGAACAACCCCCGCTTGTTCAACGGGTCCAAGTTTCGCATGCAGTCCGTGGATATGTTGGAGAGAGATGGGGAAGGGAACAACCTTGTGACATTCCGCATTGGTCTGACGGACTATCGTGACTTTATGGGCACGAATATGAGCAGGGACGCCGCCTATTTGATGCAGAGGGGACGGCAGAGTTGCGGGGACCCGCACGCGTACCTGTCCCAGCCCGTGGGGGTGGGGTCCATGGTCATCACCAGTGACGACCAGGTGGTGATGATGCGGCGGAGCAGCTGGGTGTCAGAAGGGCCGGGGCAGCTGGACCGCCCGGGGGGACACGCCGAACCCAAGGTAAACATGTCGTAGGATTCGTGTTCTTCGTGATTTCCCTATCGCTATTGATGTAAAGCTGTATATAGAACACAAACACCTTTCTTAAGAATCGTGCTTGCGGCTCGGATTCGCATTCTCTGTGATCTACGTACAGATGAATACTAAGTACTAGTAGTACATTGTATCGTAATAAATGTGCCAGTATGTATAGATAGCACTTCACCTTTCATTGTTGATAAGAATCATGTTTGCCGACAGGAAGTGACCAAAAGGTGCGGCTCGGACGAGTTCACAAACGATGCTGTGCTGGACGAGCTGTTCGAGTCGGTCATTAGTGAAATTCGTGACGAGGTGAGAGACAACACCTGTTGGCATGTGTTTCGTCTGAGTAATTGCAGGCAGAAAGATGACGCTGTTATGGGCATACGTGTAATACACAGCTGGGCATTGTTCTGTCTCGTACCCCTAAAAGTTTGGAAGACGGCC